CCGGACATGTCCGGGAAAATCCGGACGTATGGTAACCCTACTTCAGCCTCTCCCTCCCTCCTCACCCAGGGCTGGTGCTACCATTAAGGCAAACTAGGCTGTTGCCTAGGGCACCAAGATTTGGGGGCACCAAAAAGCGGTGCCCCCATATTTTTTTTTTTTTTACAGCGTTGCTACGCCCCCTCCCCGAGCACACCGTCGCTGCTCCACTTCTCCCGCCTCCCAGGCTTGTGGCGCCAATCAGCTGTTTGGCGCCGCAAGCCTGGGAGGGGAGGAGAATTAGAGCAGGGGTGGCGTGCTCGGGGAGGAGGCGGAGCAAAGGTGAGCTGGGGTGGGGAGCTGCCACACGGCTCTCCGGGGGCGGGGGAGCTGCCGTGGGGGGGGGGGGCGAGGAGCTGCTGCAGGGCTGGGGGGGGGGGCACGCAAGGTGGAAGTTTCGCCAAGGGCGCGAAACTTCCTTGCACCAGAACTGTCCTCACTAGGGCCCCACCTGCTCCCTTCAGCCCCTCCCTCCTCACCAGGGCCCTGCCCACTGCACATGCCAATAGCACCAGCCATGGGCATGGGCCAAGTGTGGGGTATTAGCTGCGGGCTGTTAGCCCTTTCAGCCCTGCTCTGCGCCCCACTGGAGCCACCCCAGGGGCCTGCCGGCCAAGGTGGTTTGGGGCGAATGCCTACAGCAGCTGGTCGAGCAATGCGAGAGTCTCCCTTCCCAAGAACAAGGTCAGGAGCCTGTGTGCGCCCCACCCCAGCCAGGGCCCTGCAAGATCTGGCTCGGGGGGAGAGCGCAGGACATGCCAGGTGGGCTGGTGCCAGGACACCTACCAGCCTTCTCACTGGCAAACTCCTTCAGGTTGAGTCGCTGCAGAGGGAAGTCTACGAAGACAGAGCATTTCTTGATGGAGTACCGGGTGGTGGAGAACCTGTTCAGGTCTGGCCAGCGGAGCAGCAGGGTTAAGGGAGGTAACGGGCAAGGGGACCAAGAGGTAGGGGTGGCCTTTGTCCTGATGGGGAGGATGGCTTGTAGCCTGCAGGAAGTTGCGCTAGCCTACCTCCTCGGGATCCAGCACATCCCTCTCTACACTGCATGCTGCCAGTGCTAGGGACACACCCACACCTACCTGGGCCACAGATCCCGGCCAGGCACCGAGCAGACATCTGCCACCCAGGCTCTACCACGTCCACGTTTGCTGTGTCCTGCACTACTAGTCCCCACGCCTCCAGTGCTGGGACGCTGTCAGGAAGCCCAGCCAGACGCAGGGCTGCAGAACACCATGTGCTGGGTAAGGCCAGGCCTGTGGACCATGGGGCAAGCAATAGCCAGTACCCAAGGAGTCGCACCTCAGCTAATCCCAACATCCCCAGATGCTGAGCAGGGCCGAGCCAGGGCTGAATGGGCCACCCAAAGGCAAAAGGCTTCGGCCCCTTCCTCCCCTCCCCCCAGAGCACTCCCACGCCACAGCAGACAGGATACGCAGCACCAGGATGCGGGGGAAGCGCTGGATGGTCAGTTTCTTGGTGCTTCTCGTCCTCTGCCGGCACTTGTCACAGACCTGCTCCAAGGCACAGGACAGCCCAGCTCAGAGTGTGCAGGGGAGGAGGCCAAGCTGTGCTGATGCTCCAGCCCCGCTGTGGCTGGCACAGCCAGACCCAGAGCCTCCTGGCTCAGTTACACCAGTGCCAGCTGCCCTCCCACGTCCCTGCATGAGCTGCAGGCTCCTGGTGCTTTTCTGTCAAGGCTCCAAGCAGCCTCCTACCGTCCCTCCCTGCTCGCCCCCTTCCCAGTCACGCTCCCCTCCGCCTGGTGCCTGGATCTCAGCCTCCAAGCACCCCAGCTGGTGCTGCACCAGTTACTGCCCTACAGAGGCAGTAGTGATGCTGGAGCCCTCTGCAGCCTGACCTGGTCCAGCTCCTAGTGCCCCGCCCCATATGGGATGTTCCTCGCAGCCCTGTGGGATGGAGAGGTTAAGGCCCCCCAAGCACAGTGGGGCAAGGGCCCCTCCCTACACACCCAACGGGATGGGGCCTCTGGCCCTTCCCTTACCGGAGCGTTCTCGGAATCCAGCTCCTCCTCCTTGGTGAAAAGGCTGAAGCAGTCGAGGAGAGAGACCTTCCCACCGGCAAAGCCTTTCTGCAAGGGAGAGCAGGGGAGGGGCGCACAGGGTCAGAGCGGGGGCGGGGGCTCAGCCCTGACAGGGAGGGGTGTGCGGAGTCAGGGCAGGGGGGCAGGCTCAGCCCTTGCATGGAGGGGAGGGACAGACCAGAGAGGGGGCTCAGCCCCCCCAGGGCACTGTCTGCGCAAGGCTGGCTCAGCTCGTCCCTCTGATGGGCAAAGAGGGGGCAGCCCTGCGCTGCTCCAGGAGCAAGGAGGGGCAGCAGGTGTGCCAGGGCGCAGGGAGGCTGCAGCAGGGGAGTGGGCACACGCACAACCCTCACTGGGCTGGGAGGAAGCATGCCCCCCCCACACACACAGTCCCCAGGCCAGGGCGGTGCTATGCATCCAGCCATGGGCGGCAGGTATCATAGGCCAGAGGAGGCTGTGCCTCCCCAATTAGCCTGGTGTGGCCCCGCCCACGCTCTGCCCCCACGTCCCTTCCTGCAGTTCCTTCCCGCTCTCCCGTAGCCCAGGCTGACTGTGGCTGGGGCAGGCCGCCGGGACTCGGGGCGGCTGGCGCTGGGACCGCGCTACTCGGCACTCCGGGGCTGGGGCCCGCCCAGCGCGCTGGGGCCGGGGCCGAGCCGCCTGACGCTCAGGGGGCTGGGACTGCGCCGCCCAGGGGGCTGGAGTCCGCCCGGAGCTCTGGGTCTGGGGGCGCTTGGGCAGCCTGGGGCTGGGAGGCCAGAGTGAGGGTGCTCTGGGCTCCTGTAGGTGGAGCAGGGAAAGGGGAGGGCGAGGAGCAGGGCCTTGGGCAGAAGGGAAGGGGCCGGGAGCTAGCCTCCCCCAACGGCCGGTTTACCAGCCGCCCATGCATCCAGCTGCCGACAAGAGGATGAACCAGAACAGAGGGGGCAGCGGGTCTCTCCCCGTGCACCCCAGCCAGGATGGGCTGGCCCAGCCCCCACAGCCCCTACCTTTGGGATGGGGAGGGAGAGGTCACAGAAGACTTCGAAGGTGGTGGAGCGGTAGCCACAGGCCTGACACTTGAGGCAGCTTTTCAACTGGCCGACAAAGAGATCTGGGAGGGAGACGGGACGGGGTGAGCACGCGTCTCCCCCACCCCGCGTCCCCTGCTCAGTGCCTGCTGCCAGCCCAGCTTGTCCTGGGACCAAGTATGCCCCTGACAGGAGCCAAGGGGACACGCGGCTCCTCCCCTCGCTCCAAGGTAGCTGTGAATGCCGGTGCCCAGAGGGTCGCCCCAGCACCGCCGTACCCAGGGGCCCAGACCCAGCCAATGCCAGCTGAGCTGCTGGGTGTCAGTGGCTGGAGCACTGTCCAGTGCCCCAGCCAGGTTCCGTCACCAGTGGCTACTCCACGCCAGATTGTGCTAGAGATGGAAGAGGGGACGTGTGTGCCTCTCCCCTCCCCCAGGGGCTTGGATCCTGCCCATGCCACCTGAGAAAGGGGCAACACTCCAGAGTTTGTGCCCATCTGGGGCTCGTCTGCTGCCTTGGTTAGACCCAGCCTTCCCCTGCCCATCACCCTGCTCCAGGGAGGGGCAGGATGCTGTGCACTTAGAGCCTCGGCACATGCCGAGATCAAAGCCCCATCCTCTTGCATAAGGGGCTGGAGGGAGATACAGTCCTGGCAGAGTCTGCCTGTCCCAGTCAGGGCTCTCCTCTGGCTCAGCCCCCAGCAGCGGGCCCAAGGAAGGGGATGGGCATGGAGCCATAACTCCATCAGAGCCCCAAGCAGCAGGCCCAGAGGGGGCGTGGGGCATGGAGCCATACCTCCATCGGAGCCCCCAGCCGCAGGCCCAGAGGGGGCATGGAGCCATACCTCCATCAGAGCCCCCAGCCGCAGGCCAAGAGGGACTGGGCGGAGGGGATAGAAGGGTGGGAGTGGAGCCTACACTTCCATCAGAGCCCCCAGCCGCAGGCCCAGAGGGACTGGGCGGAGAGGATAGAAGGGTGGGAGAGGAGCCTACACTTCCATCAGAGCCCCCAGCCGCAGGCCCAGAGGGACTGGGCGGAGAGGATAGAAGGGTGGGAGAGGAGCCTACACTTCCATCAGAGCCCCCAGCTGTAGGGCCAGAGGGATTGGGTGGGGGGAGGGCATGGACAGCAGGTATAAAAGCGGAAGCTCCTGAGAAGTGGGAGGGCCACCCGCACTCCACCCCGAGGCCTCGCTGGGCCTCTTCCCCTGTGGCCTCCCCGGCACTGTGCGGGGCCACAGACCCAGCAGCAGTACCCCTCCCCCACTTTTGGGAACTTCTCACACTCGCTCCCAGCCTCCCCAAAGGCCAGAGTCAGGTGCTGCCTATGGGGGAGGGGAGGCCATACGCCCATCAGAGCCCCCAGCCCTAGGGCCAGACAGGGCAGTTGTGCTCACCCACTATCTTGCTGTCCTCTCTCTCCAGGTAGTGCTTCCACATCTGGTTGGCTCGTTCGTCATCACTAGGAGGGAGACAATAGTGGGGGGCTGCTGAGGGAGGAACCCCAAGGGCAGCTCCCTCCACACACCAGCCTGGGCTCTCCGCAGCCCCTTTGCGAGGCAGCCAGGGGCGGGGTTGTGCCTTGGGGGCTCCTATCCTGCTACCAGGGCTGAGACTCCCCAAACTCCTCCCCCCAGGTCCCGAGCAGGCAGCCCCCGGGCTGAGAGCAGACCACGTGCTATTGTCAATCTCCTCCCCACCTGCCCCCTTGGCCCCGCCGCAGGCTCCCTGCCCCCTGGGCGACAATGCAGCTGCTGGGAGGGGAGCCTGGGAACCCTACGCTCCAAATCTACTGAGAGCTGCCTGCTGGCCCTGGGGCTCTCGCCGCTCCTGTCCCCGGAGCCTAAACTAAGGTCAGATTAACCAGACCCAGCCAGGACACTGGCCAGGATCCCGCTCCCAGCCCCAGCCGCGCAGCGACGGAGTCCTTGCCAAGGGCAGTCCTGCTGCTTTCAGACCCTCAGTGCAGGGCTACAAGGACCAGCTCACAACACGAGCCACATTTCGCTGCGTCCCTGCGAGTCGCAGCCCCCGACCAGCTCGGCTGTTCACCTCAGGGGGTCCGAGTCCTCTAGCACCGAGGGCCATTTGGTATCAGAGAGGATGCTGGGAGTTTTGCGCCCCTTCCTGTTGATCTCCACGTGCAGCCGGTCCATGAAAAACTTCAGGAACTCCTGGGCATCCTGCTGGCTAGAGACAGGAATGGCCAGTCAGCCCCACCCCACCCTTCAAGAGCTTCCACACACTGCGTCCCCTACCCCAGACCCACATCCTCCACACACTGGGTCCCCAGCCCCCTCCACACACCTTATCCCCAGCCTTAGCCCTGTCCCCAGCCCCCTCCACACACTCGATCCCCTCCCCCAGCCCCCGCACCCTCCACACACTGCGTCCCCTTCCCCAGCCCTGCCCCCCAGCACCCTTCACACACTAGGTCCCCTCCCCCAGCCTCAGCCCTGTCCCCTCCACACACTGGGTCCCCTCCCCCAGCCCTGCCCTGCCCCCCAGGACCCTCTACACAATGGGTCCCTCCCCTGGCTTCAGTTCTACCACCCAGGACTGTCCACATTCAGGGTCCCCTCCCGTGGCCCCACAGCTCTCCACACTCAAGGTTCATCAGCAGTGGGGCTTTCCCTGCAGCTCTGACAGCCAGGCTCTGACCCCAGCACTGCTGCTGTTGGCCCCCCCTCACTCAGCAAGGCAGAGGAGCGGAGCTCCGGCAGGCTGCTGCGGGAAGGGACTGTCAGGCAGGACCCAGAGGAGGTCCTGGCTGCTCTGCACAGACCTGACATCGCAGGGATCCCATGCCCTGGCCAGACCGGTTCCTCCCAGGTGCACACTATGCTGGCTGCTAAACTCTGCCCAGAAGTGGCTGCATTCCCATGGTGCTCTAGGAGAAGGGGTCCAGGGCGCACATGGAGCCCTCTCACCTGTAGCCTGTGAAGGACGGGACGTATTTCTGAAAGACGGCTTTGAAGCGCCCAGGGTTCACAGCTTCGGTGGAGTCTGGGTGCCACAGGGAATTGATGACATCTGCAAATGCTGAGGGGAGACAAGCCACCAGCCACATTACCCCGCCTGCACCGCCCCGCAGCCAGCTCACTCACCCCAGCTGGCATGGCAGCCATGGGGCAGGATTCCCTGCCTCTGGGGAGGGGCCAAGCTCCAACTGGACCGTGCTGGAGCAGCCCTGGGGGCGGGGGGAGGGGGAAGCAGGAAATATCCCCAGACCCACAGGGTATTGCTGCCCCCAAACCCCTGCATGTGGCACAGACTGGGGGACAGGGAGGGGTGAAGGAACAGCTAGATGGGGTCAAAGGGAGCGTAGGACAGTGAGCGGAGCCCAGGAGAAGTCAGGATGCCTGGATCCTACTCCTGACTCTGCCACCAAGATCTCTCCCGCATGCTTTGTGACGGCCCTCCAGCCTTGCCCTTGCCCTGCAGTGCCCAGAGCGATACGGACACGCTCAGCACTCAGGGCCCATCCTCCATACACCTGTGCCCACCCCGCTCCCATGCTGGGCACAGTACCAGTACTGCCACGGCAGGGAATTCGGCCCTGCTGCTTATGTAACCGACTTTCCAGCTGGCCTCACTTCAGCAGGGTGCTTACATAACCCTGGTCACTGGCGCGGGGATTAGCTCCCACGGCAGCCAGACCCAGGCCCCAGGGAGCTCCTGGGCAGCGAGCCAGCTGTGTGAGCACAGGGCTGGGGAGCAGCAGGGAGGCGTCTGGCCAGCTCACCTACCTTCCGTGAGCTCCTGCTGGGCCCGCGAGGCGCCGGGCTGCTCCTGGAGGAACTCCTTGCGCAGGCAGTAGTCACGCAGAGGCTTGGTGCTGCTCAGGCACTGAAGCACAGCGTTCATGAAGCACTGCAGGGGCACAGGTAGGCAGTCACAGCGGGCCCCACACCCCAGGCACTGGCTCCCCTGGCCTTCTGCATGCAGCACCTGGGCAGCTGGGATTGGCCAGCCCAGGAGGGGCTGTAGTTCCTACTAGACAGGAGCCATGGAGAGCGGCGAGCCCACAGAGTGCAGGTACGTGGGCACTGGGACCCACCGTTACCCCTCACAGCCAGCTCACCCTGCCAAGCTCTGCTCCAAGCATCCCCCTCCAAACCCGGCCATCCTGACAGCCACAAGAGGGTGCTCTTGAAGCCACAGATCTCTTGCCACTGTGCAGAGACCGGGCTGGCTGGCAGCAGATGTAGCAGGGGCACCAATGGGCTCCCAAAGGAGGGGGCCACCACAGTGAAGCGGATCAATGCTGGTGATGGGGAGGAGGGTCCCTAGAGATCAAACCCCCCAACACCACCAGGAAGACAGTCACTGGCCATGTGCAGCTGCTCAACCACCTCCCCAGCTAGACTCAAGCTGCCGCTACTCATTGCTGCACCAGGGACTCTTGGAGCCTCTCACACAACACAGGGAGAACTCGGCTCAGCCAAACCCCTGCCACCTGGGCTATAGGAGAATCTCCATCAGCAGCACAGGGCCTCTGACACACAGCAGTGACACGGTGCTAGACACAGCAGGGTTTGGGCAGGGGGCCAGAAAGCCCCCAGAGCAGCCTGGGATGGTTTAGTGCCCTCCAGTGCCGGGGCTGCAGGGAACAGCGCAGAGGCAACAAGCCCAGGGGGTGCAAGGGGAACCACAGCTGGGTGGGAAAGGTGGCTGCAGGTGTCAGCTCCACTCACAACACAACTGCTGGCTCCTCCATGCAACATAGGAACGGCCCTTTGATTGGACTCAACGGGGTCTTTGTATGGGCATGTGCAGGCTCTGGCCCACCATACTGCTGGCAGTAACAGGCGCAGCCCCTGATCACCGCCCCCATCCACCTGTCCCAGCCCAAGGGCTCCGGGAGCCCATCTGCACTGCTGGGGAAAGGCTGCTGCACTCCCAATCCCACCCAGATTAAAGCAGGCAGGCAGGCGCTGGCTCAGAGATGGCAGCAGTGGGAGAACAGTGCCCGGTGAGCAGTATTCCAAGGGTGCTCATCGCATCAGGGAAGGGACAGACCCGGGAACACCGAGGAAGGGACGACTGGGGGAGGTTACATAGACTATGATGACATTAGACTCGTGTGAGAAACTACAGCACTCAGCGACCTCAGATCTCCTTGGCGGGGCACCCCCAAGGGAAGGGGCACCCCCACATAGCACATCAGGGAATCATGACCCCAGTCATGTAGAAACCAGGCAGCCCAGGTCTCCATTCTCTGCACTTTGCGTCACTGACACAAGTACAAAGCGGGTGTGAAACACCATGGTGCAGTGCTAATCTTGCCCTGGTGTGAACAATGGTGAGGGCTGCACAGGGAGAATCAGGCCTGAATTGGGCACAGCAGAGGGGGGTGCAATGCAGGGAGGACGTGCTACCTCGAGTCTTCCCAATTCCAGCCTCTCTGCATGTCAAACGCTTTCCCAGGCACCAACTGATATTTTTGACACCATCAAACACAGGCTAATGGCTTTTCAGAAAGCCTTCTACAGGGGACATCCTGTCCCCCAGCGTCTGTGTGTGTGGGGGGGTGTCCCGCTGCCCAGGGTTCCCCTGCACTGAACGCCGGGTGCTTACCGTGTTGCCAAGATTGCGGAGTCCGATGTGCCCAGAGCCCAGGAGGAGGGTGTGGTGTGTCTGAGAAGACGAGAGAGAGATGGGATGAACACCTGGGAAAGGGACTGCAAAGCATGAGCAGGAAGAGACCGTGCCGTAATACTGTAAATAGGTTGATCTCTACCTCATGTCTCCCCAGGAGGATGGCCACACATGGCCAGCCCATCCATACACACAGCCAGCCCAATCCATTCCCTCCACACACACATGCACACAGCCAACTCATGGCCCCCAGAGGCTGGAGGTGTCCCACTGCCTACAGCCAGCAGAAGGAACAGCATGGTGCATTACCTCACTGGTCATCAGCAGCAGCCCCATCACCGCCGTGTGCACCACCGACTCCGAGATATCCGCCCCCTTGCCCTGCAGCTCTCGTTTGGTGGCCAACGTGCGGTGCAGCTTTCGAGGCAGCTCCACCAGGGTGGCTCCCTGCAGGCCTGGCATGGCTCCTGCCGCACGGAGGAGCAGGCAGCCGGAGCGCTGAGCTTGCCTTGCGGCACCAACTGAAGGGACCACAGGGCCCTCCCTCTGCCTCTATAAACCATCAGCTCATTAGCTGATCCGATTTCCCTTGGCTATTCCGGGCCCTGCTCGAGGCTCATCTCTGTGGGATTAATTAGCAAGGAGTGCTACTTTGGGGACAATGGGTGTTTGAAGAACCATGGAACAGAGAAGGAAAATACAACCAAACACTCACCGACCATGCAGCAGGCACAACACACTCCTAGAAGGGATGGGGGTGGGGGAGAAACCAGCTACCCCGGGCTGACCTGTCTCAGGGCTGCCATAGTGCACTGGATTGCTAGGTGGGCACATGCCAAGCTTCTGCGTAGCCGGCTAGCCCTGCCCGGGGCGACAGGCCATGCCTAGTGGTCAGCCCCACGCCTGTGCTCAGACAGATTACATAAGAGATTTCCTAGAAGGAACTGATTACACTTCCAGCCAGTGCCTGGTGGACACACCTGGGAGGTTCTTTTGCTAGGGAAGATGAGGAGCTGCAGGCAGGGGCTGAGGGGAAGGTCTGGGTCAGGCCATGGGGGAATCCCAAAGCTGGTAGCTCAAGATTTGAGTGAGCATTTGGACAGTTTCGGACACTTTGATCACCTGGGGCAGAGCCTTGGATATCAGATCTGTTGTAGGGGACACTCCTGCAGTAGCCAGAGAGATTGAGGGGCCATTGCTGACCTCTGTGGTTTTGCACATCACTCACCGCCCCCCCATCACACATCCCAGAGTCTCCTGGATGAACAATCCAACAATTGTCGGGGCATCTGTTAACTTCACACGCAATTCCACTAGCTAGATGTCTTCACTGAAACCACGAGCTGGTTCTCCGCCCCTCCCACCCTGAGGGCCCCCCAGCCGATGGAGCGCTGGATGCAGTTCCTGGAGCAGCCAAAGTCGCTGCTGCGAGGCAAGTCAGGGCCCATAGGGATATCATCCACGCTGGGACTGCTTGCTTGCTGGCATGCCATGCTCCTACTCAGCAGAGCCAGAGACCCCCCCAGACTTCCCGCAGGCCCGGCGACTAAATTCTGATGCAGCCCAGTCCCCACAGGCTTGCAGGTGTATGAGGGCAGATAGGAGGACGCTGAAAGCATGGTGTGGTGGAAGGATGCTCCTGGGAGAAGCACGGCCAAGCAAGGGACTCAAAAAATCACTCCACCTCCAAGTCCCAGCTGCCAACCTTGCTGAGGCATATCACCCTCCCGCCAACCCAGCACACCCGGCTATTCTGCCTCCTGGCAGCGTCGTTCTGACAGCAGCAACTCTGTCGCTAGCTCTATGGGAGGCAGAGTGCTCAGCTGGACGGGCAGACTGGGAGAGTCCATGGTGGCGCTGGCTTTCCACTTGCCTGCTCAGCAGGTTGAAGCCGGAATCACTGCGACCACAAGTTCATTTTCCCAGGATCCCACCCACAAGGTGCTGGGTTCTCACGGAACGAGGAGGCTGGGGGCAGCTTGGGGGAAAACCACAGAGCACCAGGGCTCAAGGGGGAGCCTTTGGCCTAGACTCCACCATAGAAAGTAAGGGCTGGGGCAAGATGGGAGCAAGCCCCCCTCCCCCTTGAGGAAGCCCCAGATTGGAGCCCCCAGACATCAGGCCAGGTACTGCCACTCTCTAGCAGTCTGCAGTAACGAGGCTCATCCACCCCAGCAGGCCTGGGAGCAGAGCACAGGGAGGATGGCAATGGAGAGTGCTACCCGCCCCGCTCAGTAGATGTCAAACAGCAATTACAGCGGACACCTTCTTGTCGGGCCTGCTCGGAGCTGGAGGCGGTACCTTGCCCTGGGGTGGGCTCCCAGCCACTGGGACATCCTGGGGGTGCACGTACTCGGAGACCTGAGGATTGGGGGTGTGAGTCCTGGTGCAGCCCTCAGTGCGGACAGAGAGCAGTGTGCCTGCGGGCCTCCCATCCAGCCCAGGAGACACATTGACCCTCCTGAGCGAGGAGCTCCGCTGGAGAGCCAAGGGCCCCAGGCCCAGCTTCTGACTGCAGGACGGGCTGCGGTCCCGGAGCACCAGGCGACTGAGCACCATGCTCAGCTCCTCCCCTCGCCCCCCCGCTTGGCTCAGGTCTCCGATGCTGATAGATTTGGAGCGGGCGAGGTTGTTTCTCCTACGCTCAGAGTCTCGTTCCACCAGCAACACTCCTGATGGCAGGGAGAAGGAGGCGCTGCCTGACATGGTGCCAGGCTGTGGGGGGTTGGGCACCTTGACCGCATGGTCAGCCTTCACTGGCCCTCGCCTGGGCACCGAGCCCCGTAGCTGGTCGCTGCGCTTCGAAGCACGGCCCCTTTCAAGCTCCTGCTTCTTCCCCCGATCGTCCAGCGGGCTGGGCCGGGGAGGCAGTGGGCGAAGCTTGGGAGCCATGGAGAGCCCATTGGCCAGTGCAGGGGAGACTGAGGTGTGGCGTTCCTGGCTCACGGCCCGGTGTCCATTCAGGAGCTTGGTGGTGGCCTTGGGCTGCGATGTGATGACCTGCTCTCTAGCCCGGCTGACCCGGTGTTCAGAGGCTTGGGGCATCGTAGAGACAATGAAGAGGAGAATCCTGGGGAAACAGGAGAAAGACGAGTCAGCGTGGCGGACCAAAGCCAGTGTCACTCAAATGGAGCCCAGCTACCAGGAGGCAGGACTCCAGGCTGCCAATCCCAGCTCCAGGAGGGCAGTGTGGTCTAGTGGGTTCAGCAAGGGAATGGGAGACCAGGCTCCTGGATTCCAGCGCCGACTCCCTGTGTAACTTGGGTGGATTTTCTGGAATTCGAAGCTGGCTAGCTGCATTATGGGAAGCAGAAACCTTCCTCTGCAGCATCAGGTACTGGCCACGGCTGAGGCGCAGATGCTGGGCTGCAGGGACTGGGGCTCTGAGGCAGCACAACCAGACATACCTCTCACAATCTGCGAGCGTCTCTTCCCCACCAGCGCCAAGCTCACACCCCTCCACGGTGGCTGTCCAGGTGGAGATTCCCATTGGCTGGGGCCCTAGAACACAAGACAGGATGATCCAGGAACAGGCTCCCATGGCAGTTTCATCCAGGACTTCTGGCCACCAGAATCTCTGGGAAACCCTCTGAAAGGCAACAGAGCCCAGCCCAGAGCGTCTCAAACTGGTCCATGTCACAAGGGAAAGGGAGGAAGGGTCTGCAGTGAGACAGGCCCCATGGGACTCCACCCACCAGAGTAGGATACTGCACATCTGGGTGGGAAATGATGCGGTATCCTCAGGAGGGCAACAGGTGGTGCTGCTAGTGAAGAGAGAAAGCTGGGCACAGGCTCTCCCTATCCCACAATGCACCAGCACCATCACACAGCAGAGCCAGGAGTGACTGCGCCTAGCTAGAGGCGGCATCACGCCATCTACCCCCCTTGCCGCTCTGCTTCGAGGACAGTCTCCTGAGACGGCCTTTTACTCCCCTTTCAGCAGGTTTTCAAGGGAGAGAGTTAATGGGCTCTGGTGCCTTCCAGCCAAGACCACCAAGCTCCAGGCAGGTGTAACTAAGGTTATGTCAACGCTGCAATGAAAACCCCCGGCCGGCCTGTGCCAACTGACTCAGGCTAAGGTGCTGTTTAATTGCAGTGTAGATGTTCAGGCTCGGGCTGGAGCCCTGGCTCTAGGACCCTGCGAGGTGAGAGGGACCCAGAGCTGAGGCTGCAGCCCAAGCCCAAACATTTACACCGCAGTTAACAAGCTCTTAGCCCGAGCCCTGTGAGCTCAAGTCAGCTGGCACGGGCCAGCCATGCGTGTCTAATCACAGTACTGACATACCCTCCGAGGCCTGTGCAGGAGCCATTGATCTTGCTGCAATTACTGAGCAGGAACCTGCACCACAAGGGGATCAATGGGTGCCTTGTGTCAGTCTGACAGAGAGGCCAAGGGCTGAACGGGCCCTGGTGACCAGACTCCGCTCCTGCAGGGGTCTCTCCATGGCATGGCTAAGGCCTGTCAGCGGTCCCAGTTTGCTCTCCATTCAGACTTTTCCCCACGCGGTGCTACTGTCAAACCCCCTCACCTCTCACTCAACTGAGCTGAGGGATTTGAGCGAGTGAGGCTCGCATTGTTCGCTAACTACAGAGGTGATTAGGGTGAGTCACTGAGCCTCTAGTCAGGACGTGGGTTGCCAGTTACTCCCACCAACCGCCTCTGGCAGGGGCTGGGCTTTGCCAGTGCAGAGCTCATAACCAGAAGCAGTGCTCATATCTGGCAAAGAAACTTACTGATTCCCCATTCTCTCTAGAACAGGAGCACTGGCCCATTCCTGCCTTCTGGCATCCGGCACAGAACAGTGGAGAGGGCACAGACCCCACACAATGAAGCCAGCCAATACTTGGCACATAGGATCGAAGAGAGCTAGAAGCCTTAATTAGGGTCCATCGGCACAATTCTATACACTGTCGTTAACTGGCTAATGTGTACGCATAATGCTGCCATCTTCTGCATGGAATCAGACCTACTCAGCTGTGTGTCATAGGCCCGATATTCACAAAAGCTAATGGGGATTCCCTTTTAACTCAAATAACAGAGGTCTATGCTTTTGGAGCAGGAGGATCAGTGTTTTTTCTATCCCTGATGTCATCATGACGTTCCTACCGGTCCAGCATAATGGCAATTGGGAAGCCACAAACGTGTCACAATAGCAAATCTCTGCAATACATATTGAGATAAGAGGAGCACGATTCGTTTGCGATTTGCTTCAGAAAAAACAGCACAGGCCCCTGCTACTGCTCAATGGCCTCAAGACAAAGTATGTGGCATTTCAGAAAGGGAAAGCACAGGGGAGTGCCATGAACTGGGACACCAGGCCAGGACTTCAGAGCAGCTGGCCAGTCAAAGCCAAGTCATGTGACACTTCCCCTTGCAAGTAGGATGGCGCAGTGCGCAGACTCTGCCCATCTGAGCATGGCATTGGTCAAGTTGCCAGGAGCCCAAGGGCTGCCCAAAATGTGTATAAAATGGAGAAAGCTGCATCCGCCTTCCATCTTATACATAGAGGTGCTGCCCACAGCGACTACAGATCCCAGCATGCAGTGCTCCCTCTCAATCTAAGCAGCCCTGCTTCATGGCTGGCTGGGACCAGTAGTCTCTTCAGGCCGCACTTCCACGGACAGCGCCAGACAGCAAAGACTTTTCATTTCCCAGACAGCAAGGACTTTTCATCTCCTGAGGCAATCTCTGTACGGATCACTCAAATAAAGAACATTTCTTTTCAAAACTTTCTGTGATGTTCCCCCACCAGCCACACTCACCTCCGTCATTCTTCATCCTACCCAGTTCACCCACCCCTTGCTGCCAGCCAGCCAGCCCCTTGCCTGAAGGGAGAGAACCCAAGTACAAGGGGCAGGGCAGTGTCCTTGTGCAGAGCCCAGCTACTGATCATTCCAGCGTTCCCTCACCCTGCCCCCTAAACCACATCTACTCTATGTGACCTCCAGCTCCCTAGAGACCCCCTACAGCCCCAGCCCCCTATACACCATTCCATAACCCTATGCAGAGGCATCTATCCATCATCCCACAGCCCCTAGAGAGAGAGCAATCACCCCTATATACAGCCCCCATATATATATATATATTACACCCCCATATGGAGGCCCCAAACCTCAATCCCTTATATACAGCCCCCTATATATACACATTATCCCCTATATGCAGGCCCCAACCCCCTATAGAGTAACCCCCTGTATACAGCCTCCCATACATACATTAGCCCCTATATGCAGGCCCCAACCCCCTATAGAGTAACTCCCATATATACATTACACCCTATATGCAGGCCCCAGCCTCAAGAGAGTAATCCCCATATACAGCCCCCCATATACCTCACCCCCATCCCTACAGCCCGAGGAAACCCCCCTAACACCACATACCATGGAGGGTGCCCACCCCCTCCGAGGCCCTGGGAGGTGGGTCGGACCCTACCTCCTGCAGGACGCCATAGCAACAACTCCCGCACCAGAAGCCGCCATCTTTGTTTCTGTCCCCGCTGCCCGGCTACAAGTTACTTCGGTCGACTCATGGCGCATGCGCTGACATCCGCAGCCTTCTGCTTCTTGGCCCAGTCTGCGCGTGCGTCACCGTCCTGCTCTAGTGACACATCCCGTCGCCATGGAGGCAGAGAGGCGTCCCCCCCACCCTTAAAGAGACAGTAGCACCAACAGGGAAAGTTACTGTAGGATCGCCGAGGCTCCGGCTGCTGCTGTCTAAGGGGGCTTTGGCACCCGATTATCGTCACAAGCCCCCCCCCCCCAGTCTGAGACATGCGAGGGGGGCACCTGTGCTGGGGGCACGGGATATACCACATCCCCTGGAGGGACGCCTGTGCTGGGGGGGCAGGGTGTGGGACATAGCACGTCCCCTGGTGGGGACCACTGTTCTTGGGGCTTAGGGGACACACCTCGGTGCTAACCCTAACCATGTCCTTTGGGGACCCCTGTGCTGGGGGTACTGGACATACCACATCCTGTGAGGCCCCCTGTGCTGGGAGGTATGGGACACACTACATCTATGCTACCAGGGTGGGGAGATGTAGCACTAGATGTGTAAGTAAAAGGGTAAAAGGGCTCTGGCCACTGAGGACATGTCTCTTGGCATACCTATAGGGTACATTGGCATGTCCCATACCCAGGGCCGGCTCTAGGCACCAGCAAAACAAGCTGGTGCTTGGGGCGGCACATTTTTGGGGCGGCATGGCTGGCGCCAGAATACCGCCCCTAAAAATGTGCCCCAGCTGCCCTAGCTCACCTCCGCTGCTGCCGCCGCTCGCGCACCGCTGCTCGCCCTCCCTCCCAGGCTCTCAAACCTGGTAGGGAGGGGAAGATCCCGAGCGGCCGCGGCGTGCGAAACAGCTGATTCGCGCGCCGCTGCTCACCCTCCCTCCCAGGTTTGAGAGCCTGGGCGGGAGGGGGAGATCCCGAGTGGCTGCGGCACGCGAAACAGCTGATTCGCGTGCCGCTGCTCCCCCTCCCTCCCAGGCTCTAGACTCCGAGTGGCCGCGGCGTGCGCGCCGCTTCTCCCCCTCCCTCCAAGGCTTGAGCGCCTGGGGGGAGGAGGCAGGGCTGGGGATTTGGGGAACGGGCAGAGTTGAGGCGGGGCCAGGGGGTGGGGTAAGAAAAAAACAGGGAGGCGGCCAAAATTGATTTTGCTTGGGGCGACAAAAATCCTAGAGCCGGCCCTGCCCGTACCCCCCTCCCAAAGGGGTCCCCAGGGATATGGCAGGGAAATACTATACTAGTGATCAATGGTTCCATGTCTAGTTGGCAGTCAGTTTCAAGTGGAGTGCCCAAGGGTCGGTCCTGGGGCCGGTTTTGTTCAATATCTTCATTAATGATCTGGAGGATGGCGTGGACTGCACTCTCAGCAAGTTTGCAGATGACACTAAACTGGGAGGAATGGTAGATATGCCAGAGGGTAGGGATCGGATACAGAGGGACCTAGACAAATTAGAGGATTGGGCCAAAAGAAACCTGATGAGGTTCAACAAGGACAAGTGCAGAGTCCTGCACTTAGGACGGAAGAATCCCATTCACTGTTACAGACTATGGACCAAGTGGCTAGGCAGCAGTTCTGCAGAAAAGGACCTAGGGGTTACAGTGGACGAGAAGCTGGATATGAATCAACAGTGTGCCCTTGTTGCCAAGAAGGCTAACGGCATTTTGGGTATTGCCAGCAGATCGAGGGACATGATCGTTGCCCTCTATTTGACATTGGTGAGGCCTCACCTGGAGTACTGTGTCCAGTTTTGGGCCCCACACTACAAGAAGGATGTGGAAAAATTCTAAAGAGTCCAGTGGAGGACAACAAAAATGATTAGGTTGCTGAAGCACATGAGTTATGAAGAGAGGCTGAGGGAACTGGGATTGTTTAGTCTGCAGAAGAGAAGAATGAGGGGAAATTTGATAGCTGCTTTCAACTACCTGAAAGGGAGTTCCAAAGAGGATGGATCTAGACTGTTCTCAGTGGTACCAGATGACAGAACAAGGAGTAATGGTCACAAGTTGCAGTGAGGGAGGTTTAGGTTGGATATTAGGAAAAACTTTTTCACTTGGAGGGTGGTGAAGCACTGGAATGAGTTACCTAGGGAGGTGGTGGAATCTCCTTCCTTAGAGGTTTTTAAGGTCAGGCTTGACAAAGTCCTGGCTGGGGTGATTTAGTTCGGATTAGGTCCTGCTTTGAGCAGGGGTTTGGACTAGATGACCTCCTGAGGTCCCTTCCAACCCTGATACTCTATGATTCTATGATTCTATACACTAAACTTGTGCATGGCTGAGATCCGCTCATGGCTGAAGAAGAGCAGGCTGAAGCTGAATTCGAGGAGGACAGAGGTGGTGCTAGTGCAGAGGACAGTATTTTGCAGAGTTTGCAGCCACGGTGCAGTCTCCTTTGACTGAAGGGTCACATCTGCAATTGGCTAATTCCGTCTGTCAACTTAGGAGTACTCTTGGGTTCCTTGCTGACGTTGAGTGCTCACATAGGAACTGCCCAAGTAACACTTTCCACCATCTCTGGTTGGCTGGGAGACTGTTCCACCTTGGCAGATGATGACCTGACCTAAATTATTCACGTCATCATCACCACTCAGCCGGATGGCAGCCAGGTGATAGGCTGGGCATGAAGGCTTTGGCACTCAGGAAACTCCAACGGGTACAGAACATTGCAGCCACGTCTCTTCAGCAGCACAGGCTGCCACAAGCACATCATATCTGTCCTCTGCTCCCTATGCCGGCTGCCACAGAAAATCAGACCAAGTTCGAGGTTGCGGTCTTTATCTTCAAAGTGCTCCATGCCCTGGGCCCAGAATACTTAAAGACCATTAAGAGCTCCAGGACGAAGACCGTGGTCAACAACTTCACTCCTCTGGCTCAGTGGAGCTCTCAACTATAAGAGTAAAGCCTGTCTGGGCAGGAGACAGAACTTTCTCCACGGCTGCCCCGAGACTGTGAATGAATTCCCCCGAGAACTAAGAACCGTCACAAACCATGTCACTTTCCACTCCAAGTGCGAGGCATATTTCTTTGCCCCGCCTTCTCTAACAGAAACACATGGCAACAGGTATGGTTATAAATGGTAATAATCGTAACCATCAAATAAAATTTAAAAGAAAGCCTATGAAAACAAGACTCCTCTGCACATGCTTCTCCTTCTGGGCAGAGAAGGAAAGACCAAGCAACGGGTAACACATGTCGGTTACAGTGCAAACTTCTGGTGCTGATCAATGGATATTTATAGTTTCAACAAACACCTGTTTGATATTTCTGTGTGTTATAATTCTGAATAGCTCATGCTGCTGGCCCCCCACACACATCAATATCCCTTTGTACCACACTGAAACAGCAGTATATGGGGGCTGTGAAATTGGCAAAAAGCCTTTCCCCTGTTCCACAAACACTGCCCTGCAGACAGTTATCCCCATTACTGTGAGACTTTAACACTATCAGCACTTTCTGTAACAAGGAAGAGAGAGTGTGCTGTGGGAAGGGGGTATATTGCGGGGGAGGGGACTGGGGGGGTGGAGATGATCCATAATGCAGCTATTCAGAATGGATATAATGCTTTTTCTCTGTGTTTTATACACACAACTTCAGTGGCTGGAAGCTGAAGCTAGACAAATTGAGATGGAAATCAGCCGTACATTTTTAACAGTGTGAGTAAATTAACCATTGGAACAGCTTACCAAGATTTGTGGTGGATTCTCCAGCACTGGCCATTTTAAAATGAAGATTGGATTTTTTTTAAAAACCATGTGCTCTAGTTCAAAATACGTTATTTTGGGGCAGGTCTCTGGCCTGTGTCATCCAGGAGGGCAGACTAGATGATCACAGTGGTCCCTTCTGGCCTTGGAATCTATAAATCCATGAAAACACGTCTGTATGTTCCCATGGAGAACTGCTGCTTGGTGATCCCAGACACAGCTGAAGATGCCAGAGAAAAAACAACTGCTTCTTCAAGGAACTTTTCTTTGGAGTTTGGGCCAGTTAAATAAACTGATAATCTGCAATTCTCTTTCCCATTTGTTAGTTTGCAGCCACACAATAAGGGAACCTGATTGTGTATTTCCAGTATGTTTGGGTGCATGATGTAGCTGTGCAATAAAGCACTGGCTGGTCTGAATGTATCTAGGCTTCAAGTGGCTTATCTGTGTAATAGGATCCATGTTCAGGGAAGTTCTCTGGCCCGTGTTCTGCTGGTGCTGGAGGTCAGGCTAGATGATCACAATGGTCCCTTCTGGCCTTAAACTATGAATCTCAGTTACTTTGAATATCTGTTTAGCTGTTTTGGGAAGGGAGAGGAATGGGGTACAGCAGTGGCTCTCAACCTTTCCAGACTACTGTACACCTTTCAGGAGTCTGATTTGTCTTGCGTACCCCCAAGTTTCACCTGATTTAAAAACTACTTGCTTACAAAATCAGACATAAAAATACTAGTGTCACAGCCACACTGGTACTGACAAATTGCCAACTTTCTCACTTCTACCATATAATTATAAATCAATTGGAATATAAATATTGTACTTACATTTCAGTGTATCGGATACAGAGCAGTATAAACAAGTCATTGTCTGCATGAAATGAAATGTTGCCTGTTGTAAAACTAGGCAAATATCTAGATGAGTTGATGTACCCACTGGACGACCTCTGCATATCCTGGGTTGAGAACCACTGGGGTATGGGTTGGTGGCATGTGTGTGTGTGTTTATGGCTTTAAAAGTAAGCTAACTAGTGTCATGTGAAAACCTGGACATTTTCCCCAATTCCCTCCCCCTTAAGGACAAAGTGAGCACCTGCAGACACTTAGTGATGTTTACTCTGCACCAGTAAGAATGAATCAAATGATTTTAATAAAATTATCCTGTTTGCGTGGCTTTTAACTGTAACAATTTAAAATGTAGCTGTATTACAAGTACTTTCTCCATTCATGGGTATAAAGGGTTAATCAGAACATAAAAAAGCATATCTACGTTGACAATACATGTGCTTTCTTTTTGGCTTTAAAATCAGGTATAAAGCACTGGTCTGATGTGAGAA